ACTGTGGTTTTTAGTGTGTTTGTATGTATGTATGTATGTATGTATGTAAGTAAGTATGTATGTTTATTTGTATGTTTGTTTGTATATTTGTATTTGTGTATGTATCTAATTCCCATGAGGTGTTATGTCTCTTTTTGTGATACTTTATCTAATTATGACTGTTTGTATGTGTGTATTATTTTTGTATATGTGTATGCTTTTTTGTATGTGAGTGTGTTTTGTTTGTATGCGGGTATGTATTGTTTGTATGTGGGTGTGTATTGTTTGTATGTGGGTGTATATTGTTTGTATGTGAGTGTGTATTGTTTATATGTGAATGTGTACTGTTTGTGTGTGTTTGCATGTTTCAGTGTGGTTGTTTGTATGTTTATGTGCATCTGCATGGATATGTATCATGTATGTATGTGTCATGTATGCACTAAACACAAAATGTATTTAACATCGTTAGGAGAGAGATCTAAACTAGTTTATTGAAGTTTAGTTTGTTTTTTTGTTTGTATATCAAACTAATTAATTTAATTAGATTGAAGAAAGGGTGAGATAGTAAAAAAATAGAGTGAGATAGTGTGTGTGTGTGTGTGTGAAAGAGAGAAAGCAAGAGAAAATGAGAATGTAACTGCAATTAACAGTTTGAAGAATAAAAGCGATAAATAAATTCAAGAAAGAATAAAGAGAGAAAAGTGAGAGAGAGAGAGAGAGAGAGAGAAGAGGAGAAATACAAAACAAGGAGAAAAAAGAAGAGAGATAGAGAGAGAGAATGTGATGAAGAATATAATGATTAGGACCATACCACGTACATTTGCATTGCATGATAGCATGTAGGGCCTTCTCCAAACAATTCTACTGTTTTAATCTCTCTCTCTTTCTCTCTCTTCTTTCTCTCTCTCTCTCCCTCTCTCCTCTCTCTCTCTCTCTCTCTCTCTCTTCTCTTTGTATCTAACAACATACGAAAATAGATCAAAGAATTTGTCAAAGAGTTGAAGAATTACAATTTATTATATTACATCAAGGATTAGATCGAGGTTAATGACATAAATAAATGAATGGATGAATGAGCCGATGAATGAACGAACGAATGAATTAATGAATGAACGAACGAACGAACGAAAGAATGAATGTTTGAAATAAACATACAAACAAATAAATAACACCAAAGAGAAATGTCTTCCAATTTCAAAATTACAATGAGACGAACTTAAACGCAAGGACTGTGAATTTGTTGAGATCAAAATTATTATTATTATTATTATTGCTATTAAGATCGTTAATAATAATAATAATAATAAAATTATTATTATTATTTGTTATTATTGTTCTTATTATTATTGTTAGTGAGGGGGGAAAAGTATCAAGCGTGTTAACAATAGCAATAATAATAATAATAATTTTAAAATAATATAAATAATAATATCAATAATAATAATTATTATTATTATTAAATTATAATTATTATTATATATTTATTAAATGATACAAGATGAAAAGGCTCTAGGTCTGTAAATGTCATGTTTCCCCATTCAAGAATCTCAAGGTAGAAATTTGTTTTGAAAATTAGTTTTTATAAAAATAATGAAAAAAAACTAGTAAAAATTACAGAAAAAGCTATTTACACGACAATAATAATAATAATATTAATGATAATAAAATAATAATAATAATAATAGTTTTATGATTATTATTATTATTATTATTATTATTATTATTATTATTATTATTATTATTATTATTATTATTATTATTATTATAAATATTAATACTATTAGCGACGGTTGTAATAAAATTTGTCTTAATAAATATTTAAATAAATAAATAGTCAATTACAAAAAATTATAGACAAAGTGAGAGAGAAGAATTAGAAGAAAGAGAAAAGATGGAGAAAGAGAGAGAGTGAGTGAGAGAGAGAGAGAAAGAAAGTGAGAGAGGAAGAAGAAAAAATGCACGGTTTTGAAAGAGTTATAGCAATCAAGTATAGATGGTTTGTAAATAATTGCGTACACTTCTTGTATATTTAAAAACATTGCTCATTCATTATGCTTCGTTCCTTCTTTCCTTCATTCACTCATTTGCTCATTAAATTTTTCTTTCGTTTATTTTTATCATTGATTACTCTTTTTATTATCTTCCATTCGTTCATTCGTTTTTTCACATCATCGATCGTTCAATCGTTCGCTTCTTTTCCGGTTAAGAAAACAATCTGGGGCGTAGTCGAATTCGAAACTAACATCATCATCATCATCATCACCGTCGTCGTTGTCGTCATCATCACTTTCGTTTCAAACTGGCTCCATTTTTATTCATCTTCCTACTATCACCCATCCCTACTTTTCTCATGACATCACTGTCGCTATTCGTTGAAACAAAGAGGCGACGGAGGTGTGTG